ATCCCTCTCCATCACTCTTCAGGCTTGGAGGTTCACCCCTCTCCTTCACTCTCCAGGTTTGGAGGGTCATCCGTCTCCTTCACTCTCCAGGCTTGGAGGGTCATCCCTCTCCAACATTCTTCAGGCTTGGAGGGTCATCCCTCTCCAACATTCTTCAGGCTTGGAGGGTCATCCCTCTCCAACATTCTTCAGGCTTGGAGGGTCATCCCTCTCCAACATTTTTCAGGCATGGAGGGTCATCCCTCTCCAACATTCTTCAGGCATGGAGGGTTACCCCTCTCTTTCACTCTCCAGGCTTGGAGGGTCACCCCTCTTCAACACTCTTCAGGCTTGGAGGGTCACCCCTCTTCAACACTCTTCAGGCATGGAGGGTTACCCCTCTCCTTCACTCTCCAGGCATGGAGGGTTACCCCTCTCCTTCACTCTCCAGGCTTGGAGGGTCACCCCTCTCCAACACTCTTCAGGCTTAGAGGGTCAGCCTTTTCCTTCACTGTCCAGACTTGGAGAGTTACCCCGCTTGTTTTATCTGTAAAAATAACAATTGTTGTTAAGTTATATATATAGTTTACCTGAAGACTCAATGAATTTACACTGTTTAGATCTACTTAGCGAAAATTTAAAAATTCTTCTCAGCCAAACTAGATGATAAAAGTTGGTTTAGATTACCTATGGTCAGGGACAGGAGGTCTGATTATTAGGTCAATCAAGTCCCTCTCCCCAGCCCCCAGCGTCCCTCCCCTCCCTGTAGGCCATCAAGAGAAGGTTCACACATTATGAACCACAACATGAGACTTGGTAAGCTTCACTTCAGTGATGAATGGATTCCCAGTCTGTCCTCATTAAATAATAATACTGTAACCATTTGATCGTACGTATCAGTATAAACTGTTGGACCTCAAATGGACAATAGAATGTCATTGGGTCTAAATTAGTAAATGCGAAAGGTGAGCTTTTAGAGTCCAACAGAACATATTTGTGCATCAAATGCCCCAATTGCACCAATGGTGCATGAGGGAACACCATTCCTCCTTGGGCTGGTGTTGTAGCACAAGGGAAGCACAGTGGCTGGTGTTGCAGCACTAGTGAAGCACAGTGGCTGGTGTTGCAGCACCATTGAAGCACAGTGGCTGGTGTTGCAGCACTAGTGAAGCACAGTGGCTGGTGTTGCAGCACCATTGAAGCACAGTGGCTGGTGTTGCAGCACTAGTGAAGCACAGTGGCTGGTGTTGCAGCACTAGTGAAGCACAGTGGCTGGTGTTGCAGCACCATTGAAGCACAGTGGCTGGTGTTGCAGCACTAGTGAAGCACAGTGGCTGGTGTTGCAGCACTAGTGAAGCACAGTGGCTGGTGTTGCAGCACCATTGAAGCACAGTGGCTGGTGTTGCAGCACCAGTGAGGCACAGTGGCTGGTGTTGCAGCACCAGTGAAGCACAGTGGCTGGTGTTGCAGCACCAGTGAGGCACAGTGGCTGGTGTTGCAGCACCAGTGAAGCACAGTGGCTGGTGTTGCAGCACTAGTGAAGCACAGTGGCTGGTGTTGCAGCACCAGTGAGGCACAGTGGCTGGCCATGGAGGCAGGCTACGCTGAGCCAGACGGGATGAAACTAAGCGCCTTGTGGGAGTATTATGTGAATGGAGCTCCGGCATTCAATGAAAGTGAATCTGAAGCAGACTTCGAATCAGAAGTTTACCGAGAATTGCCACCCAATTCTCGCGTGGTTTCTGTGGTTCAGTCCATATCCGTGAAGGCTCAATGTCCCGTTAATTCACTCTCCATTGATGAAAGTAAAGCCCACTCGACAATTAAAGACACCGACTTGAAAACTCATGGGCTGTGTAGCTGCGAGTTACCAACCCAATTTTCCCAAAGCCCTCTAAGAAGGAATTACGTAAGCCACCAATAATGTTGCAGGAAGAATACTGTGATATTCTGTGCTTGGTTTGAAGCAGCCAATAAAGGAGAAAGACGTTACTAGTTAAGGGGATGAGATACTCATTGAATGTTCAAACTATCAGATGGGTTTCTAGAATCATAGATCAACTAAATAACTAGGGAATATCTAGTATAGCAAGTCAAGAAGAGCATTGCAAGTGATTGTGGCGAATTGAAATAAAGATGATGGTTGAATACTTGCTGACAATATATTAAACTTTCCACAGTCTCCTTATATAGCACAGAATGGTTATATATAACCTTTATAATATCTATAAACATATATATTTTTATATGTTATATATTAGGCCATAGTTTGATACATAGAGTCTTGAGGCAAAGAAGACAACCTAAATAGCGCGAAAAAATCTAGAAAACACGAAAAGAAAAGGAAGTCAAAAGGAATTTAAAAACTGATTAGGGAGTACAAACAATTGAGTGTGTAACGTAGAAGCTATGCGAAAATAACATAGCACTCAAAGCCAAGAACCAACCCAAATACCACCAGAGTCACACCAAGAGTAAGAAGTCTGTAAATTACTACAGAACTTGAGTACACTAAAGAGAGGATGGGAATCACAGTGAATGATCAGAAAAACTACAAAGGATATAATAAAAGCTTACTAAGTTATTTTTAACCTGGAAAATATTGTGACTCTGAAACTTAATCTTCTACACCAAACATGACGAAATGAAAATGACACCAAAAGGTGAAAAGGAAAGGGACTTAATGTGATGATTAAGGCCAGACAAAATATTATCGTTGTTAGGCAGCTGGCAGTGGAATTAGAGTGTAATTCTTTGCTACAGTGTTCAACTACTTACAGTTAGAGAGAGCGCATCCAGGTTGTTGTAAAATGTATCATGTGGTGCCAATATTCTTGAAGGAATGGAAAACAAAAGCTGAAGAATTGACAGTGACACAAAATGAAGCATAACTTTTAAGTTAACATAAAAACTGATTCCAACAAGGCTCCTAAAACACTCAGAACCGCTGAATTTCTAAGTCAAACATCAGCGTGAATGTAGCGACTGTGCCAGGAAAACTTTAATAAGTTTCTACAACAACATGAAGAAAATCAATCGAGGTAGAGAAAGTAATGGGTAGATTGCATTTTCTTCCGTGAATGTAGGAAGGCATTTGTCACTGTCCCTCACAAGAGACTTCATCTTAAGAGCTTGGAATAGGTACGTATGTCTCGAAAATGCTAAGTAAGTAACATGCTAAGTTTGTTTTAGAAGTTATGGACCCAAGATCATATGGTTTTAGGCTTGGAGTCTAAGGGTACTTTCTCTCTGGTTAGGAGCGGAAGGTCATCTCGCCAGAGATTATGGGATTAGCGAGGATAAAAGACAAAATGGCTGCGTTTCACTTGTATTAATTCAATAGTGGTGAATAATTCAATAAATACAGAAATGGTAGTAATAACCAATCTGGTTTAAGGACTTGGGTTAGGTTAACATGAAACGGTATTAACATGTTAACATGTTAACGGAATTAAGAGTTTAGTACAGTTAATTTTAATTCGTTGCCTCTAATTTCAGACGGATGCATTTCAGTTAGGCATTTCAGTTTTTTTTTTTCATTTGATCATCTTTGTTTAATAAATCTGATTTAGTATTTATGGAGTATAGAAGAATTTTCCCCAAGGGTTACTTTATATTCTGGTGTCAATACTTGAGTGGTGTCATACTCAAGACCCCGTGCCCAGAGTCTTCAGACCCCCCCCCCGGAGTCTTAAGACCACCACTACCACTCACACCAGAGGACATCACCACACTCTCATATCAAGAACACCATCTTATTCACACATCAGAGAACACCACCACACACTCACATCAAGGACACCATCACACTCTCAATTCAAAGAACACCACCTCACACTCACATCAAGGACACCATCACACACTCAATTCAAAGAACACCACCTCACACTCACATCAAAGGACACCACAACACACACTCACATCAAAGGACACCACAACACACACTCACATCAAAGGACACCACAACACACACTCACATCAAAGGACACCACAACACACACTCACATCAAAGGACACCACAACACACACTCACATCAAAGGACACCACAACACACACTCACATCAAAGGACACCACAACACACACTCACATCAAAGGACACCACAACACACACTCACATCAAAGGACACCACAACACACACTCACATCAAAGGACACCACAACACACACTCACATCAAGGACACCATCACACTCTCAATTCAAAGAACACCACCTCACACTCACATCAAAGGACACCACAACACACACTCACATCAAAGGACACCACAACACACACTCACATCAAAGGACACCACAACACACACTCACATCAAAGGACACCACAACACACACTCACATCAAAGGACACCACAACACACACTCACATCAAAGGACACCACAACACACACTCACATCAAAGGACACCACAACACACACTCACATCAAAGGACACCACAACACACACTCACATCAAAGGACACCACAACACACACTCATATCAGAGGACACTACTTTACAGTTACATCAAAGGACACCGCCTCACACTCACATCACAGTCACCGCCTCATTCTCACTTCAGAGAACACCACCACACACTCACTTCAGAGACTACCATCACACACTCACTTCAGAGACTACCATCACACACTCACTTCAGAGAACACCATCACACACTCACTTCAGAGACTACCATCACACACTCACTTCAGAGAACACCACAACACACTCACTTCAGAGAACACCACCACACACTCACTTCAGAGACTACCATCACACACTCACTTCAGAGACTACCATCACACACTCACTTCAGAGAACACCACCACACACTCACTTCAGAGACTACCATCACACACTCACTTCAGAGACTACCATCACACACTCACTTCAGAGAACACCACAACACACTCACTTCAGAGAACACCACCACACACTCACTTCAGAGACTACCATCACACACTCACTTCAGAGAACACCACAACACACTCACTGCAGAGAACACCATCACACACTCACATCAGAGAACACCACTTCACACTCACATCAAGGACTCCTCATGGGTGTGAGTTCGTGCCCTCGTTCCATTGGTCTGTTGCTGCCAGCAATGTTCTCGTTGCAACAGGTTTTCAGAAACCCACTTCAGTTCATTTTGCTTCTGACACTTCACTTCCTTTGTCCACTCCATTCCTCCTCCATCTCCATCTCTCACTCCACGCCTACTCCAGCCCCTGAGCTAGGCTCCACCTCTTGGCTGTTTGCTGAGGAAAACAAGAAAAAGATTTATAAATACGAGTTTCATATTTTATGGTCAAGAACATCATGCTAAAGTAACGTTTCAAGGCCTTTACAATTATATTTGTTTGAATAAATATTGTTTTGTGAAGGATCTGAATCAGGGAAAATCCTCAGCTAAGTAAAAGCAAAATTCATTATATTCTGACTACGGTATTAATGGAAATTAAGGAAACTTGATAGATTTTATTTCTGGCATCTTTGTGAGAGTCTGTATGTTAATACAGGCTCTCACAATGTCTGTTAACTTAATAGGCAATATACACTGCCTATTAAGTTCTTAAGATACTTCAATATATAATTGGCGTTTCGTCTTTTTTGCGAGTGTTTTTGATAGTATAAAATATTTCTGATCGTATTAAATATTTTTGATAGTATAGAATGGAGTTTGAAATATGTGTTATTATTTTAATATATTTTTATATGCACTTATATTTCATGGACTCTCGCACTACTGACCCTCGCCAGAGCTCACACGTCTTGGGTCACAAAGCACTCTCACAACTGACCCCACACCCACACCCCTGGCGTCCCCAGACACTCACACAACTGACCCCACCACTACACCCCTGGCGGCCCCAGACACTTACACAACTGACCCCACACCCACACCCCTGGCGTCCCCAGACACTCACACAACTGACCCCACACCCACACCTCTGGCGTCCCCAGACACTCACACAACTGATCCCACACCCACACCCCTGGCGGCCCCAGACACTCACACAACTGATCCCACACCCACACCCCTGGCGTCCCCAGACACTCACACAACTGACCCCACACCCACACCCCTGGCGTCCCCAGACACTCACACAACTGATCCCACACCCACACCCCTGGCGTCCCCAGACACTTACACAACTGACTCCACACCCTCACCCCTGGCGGCCCCAGACACTCACACAACTGACCCCACCACCACACCCCTGGCGGCCCCAGACACTCACACAACTGACCCCACCACCACACCCCTGGCGGCCCCAGACACTCACACAACTGACCCCACCACTACACCCCTGGCGGCCCCAGACACTTACACAACTGACCCCACACCCACACCCCTGGCGTCCCCAAACACTCACACAACTGACCCCACACCCACACCCCTGTCGTCCCCAGACACTCACACAACTGATCCCACACCCACACCCCTGGCGGCCCCAGACACTCACACAACTGATCCCACACCCACACCCCTGGCGTCCCCAGACACTCACACAACTGACCCCACACCCACACCCCTGGCGGCCCCAGACACGTACACAACTGACCCCACACCCACATTACTGGGATGCCAGACACCAACCTTCCTTCAGCGAGCCTCAGGACTCGAGGTCAGACTTCGTACTGTGAGGGGAACCAAACATCGGACGGAGGCGATCGGAGTCCTCGCTATGGTAGGCACTTTGAGAATAAGGTCCTTGGAGATTCTGTAGCTCCTGGAGACCTTGCAGTCCCTTGAGTCCTTGGAGACTTTGGAGACTCTTCAGGCCTTGAAGGCCCTGGAGTCCTAACAGGCCCTGAAGACCAGGAAGGCCTCTAGCACCCTCTTCGTATCTCTTTTTCAGGATGGCTCGAAGAGGCTCTGTGCTCATGAGAGCGTCTTGATTCCCAGCTTCAGGGAGGTCACTGGAGGGATTTTGGAGGTAGGGAGATGGGGAGGAGGTAGGGGCTTCAGGGCAAGGAGGAGGTACGAGGTCATCCTCAGCATCTCCAACGTCCTCCTCGTGAAGACTCTCACTTCTGAAGGGAAGAAAAGATAATGTGAAGAAAAACAATTGGTCAATATTTATTTATATATCATTACGAACTCTCTGACCGGACAGGGATTCGAACCTGCACTATTAAGTCACATCCTCCTAGCGTGTTCCATTCTTACCTGACCTAACCCAACCTATCCTATACTAACCTGACCTAACCCATCCTAACCTATCCTAACCTGACCTAACCCAACCTATCCTATACTAACCTGACCTAACCTATCCTAACCTATCCTAACCTGACCTAACCCAACCAAACATAACTAAGTCAGTAATTCATGTTCTTAATATAAAATAATAATATTAATTGGAACAACCTAATTTGGAAAGAAATATTTGAATATAACTGAAATCATTCTGTCAACTAGGTAAATCAGGCCTTGCATACTCGGTTAAGTAGTACGGTTCTGGCTATTACGTGCAATGTATAATGGCTCCCCGGGTGCTCCAAATCCTCTTTTTCGAGGCTTGAGGGTCCCTACAAACGCAACTAGAGGTAGTACCTCCCCCCCCCATAAATATATATACTAGCTGTACCCGGCCACGCGTTACTGAGCCACAGCAACCTTCCCAACCATTCCTCACTTCCCGGTCCCCTCGTCCTCCCAACCATTCTCCCCTTCCCCCGTCCCCTCGTCCTCCCAACCATTCCCCCCTCCCCCGGTCCCTTTGTCCTCCCCACCATCTGCCACTCCAGCATCCCCTCCTCCTCCATACCATTCCCCCCTCCCCCGTCCCCTCGTCCTCTCCACCATCCCTCACTCCCCTTTCCCCTGGTCCTCCCCACCACTTTCCATTCCCCTGTGCCCTCGTCCCCACCATCCCCCATTCCCTCGTCCTATGCATTACCAAATGATCTGATGTTCTCATCAGAAAATTAGGAACATCGAATGATTTGATTTGCCTATCACTGAAATTTAAGAAAAACAGTTAAAAAATTAAATGGAAAAATAAAAAATTAAAAAAATAAACAATACTCACGAAATTAACATTATGGTAAACAACACAGCTCAATTCCAACACAATGTCACACAAAATATTTAAATAAAAATAAAAATAAATCGAAATATATGAAAATTCAATTTATGAATGCAATCGGAAATATTGAAATGAAATCATAACATATTTACTATGGCGTTTCTTGCTATTACGTGCAACAGATAGCGCTGTTTTTTTTTTAAATCATGTTTTTACCTGTCACAGGTGTGGCATCTATATATATATATATATATATATATATATATATATATATATATATATATATATATATATATATATATATATATGCGAACAAGCCTGAATGGTCCCCAGGACAATATGCAACTGAAGTATATATATATATATATATATATATATATATATATATATATATATATATATATATATATATATATATATATATATATATATATAAACATGCGCGTATTCGAATGGAACGTTGTGTCAAAATTTCAAAGCAATCGGTGAAGAACATTTGGAGATTATCGATTTTGAACAAACGAACATTTACATTTTTATTTATATAGATGTGTGTATGTTTGTGTGAGAAAGCTGCAGAAACACGTAAGCCATAGATCACTAAGATCTCTGTTGAACACACCACACATTAGAAAGTGAAGGGACGACGACGTTTCGGTCCAGGACGGACCGAACAGTCGTCGTCCCTTCACTATCTAGTGTGTGGTTTGGTTAACATATTTCAGCCACGTTATTGTGACTTCTCGTCTACTAAGAACTCTAATTGACCCGGCCAGGATTCGAACCCTTGCAGTCCAGGATCATCCCTAAACGTACGCAGTACCGTAACCACCGCACCAATGATCGTCTGGGAGGTAACAATGTCACAAATGATCGTAGAAACTCACATCTTCAAGAAACTATAGAAGCTAAATGCATATAAAAGAGTTCCAAACGTCTGTTATTAACGATAACACTAATAATCATAACAATAGCCCCCAAGCTAACGACAAAAAAAATTGAATGAATTATTATCTCTAACGAGCGACTCACCTCTCCGCTCGATGACTAGCCTCGTAGGACTCCTTCATCCGGTACAACTGCTCCTGTAGGCTCCGGTACTCCACCAGGAACTTCTCCAGCTGGGCAGCGTGGTACTCCAGGTTACAAGGGTCTACTTGGTCACCGCCTCCTACAGCGCCTCCTTCCAGCCCTGCTCTGTGTGTAGTAACAGCAGGGACATTATTATCGAAGATTCGTTAGGATTAGCAACAAAATTCATCATGGGCTAATTCACTAATATTTATAGTCTTAATAATGATAGGTGTTATTATTTAAGACCAGATACGTGAGGTTATCTTGAGTTGATTTCGGGGCTTTTTAGTGTCTCCGCGGCCCGATCCTCGACCAGGCCTCCACCCCCCAGGAAGCAGCCCGTGACAGCTGACTAACTCCCAGGTACCTATTTACTGCTAGGTAACAGTGGCATAGGGTGAAAGAAACTCTGCCCATCGTTTCTCGCCGGCGCCTGGGATCGAACCCGGGACCACAGGATCACGTGCCAGCGTGCTGTCCGCTCGGCCGGCCGGCCCCCCCTGATTAGATTCGTGATTAGATTCGTGAGGTTTTGGATAAATTCGTAATTAGTTCTAGGAGACATGGGTAAATAATTTGAAAATTCCTCATGACTTGGTGAGACTTTTTAGTTCTAGGATAAATTGGTTAGTATTAGGATAAATTGGTTAGTATTAGCGTAAATTGGTTAGTGCTAGAATTCGTCCAAAAATTACAACGTATTTGTTGAAACCAGGCCACATCCACCAGATATATTTGTGAGGACTAAGAGAGACTCGTCAGGAGCAGGAAACATTCATCAGGACGAAAAGAGATATCTCAAGAAATTTCGGAAGGTAACATATTCAAAGAGACGAAAATTTTCGTCAATAAAATGAAAAATTCGTCACTATGATGGGAGATTCATCAAGACTGGCGCAGCTACAGCAGGACGGAGGAGGAAGTAAGGATATGGTGGAGTTTTATGCTCGTTACAGAGTTCTCTGTAGCTTCACTCTCTGGCATTCTTCTGTGTCTTACTATCATCTTTTGCCTCTTCTTTCATCAGATAGTTTTCGTCCCCAACTTATTCTTTACTCTCATTGTCTCGTTTTGCTCCTGTTTCGGCTTAAATTATATGCATCTACTAATTCTTTTTCTCCTTTATTTCATTCTCTATCTTCCTCACCACGTTCTCTAAGTTTTTAAGATATTTCGTCACTTGTCTACCACTTAGACAGGACGGTAGAGCGACGGTCTCGCTTCATGCAGGTCGGCGTTCAATCCCCGACCATTCAAGTGGTTGGACACCATTCCTTCCCCCTCTTCCCATCCCCAAATCCTAATCCTGTCCCCTTCCAAGTGCTATATAGTAGTTATGGCTCTCGCCTCCCCCCTTTGCCTTCCATGCTGCCTTCTCACCCTCCGTTCCAGGAGATACATAGCCTCAAATGTGTCATAGATCAAGCATTGAAGATCAAGTTGAACCATAATTTATTTTTACGACCCGACTAAGAGCTTTGACCATCCTTATGGCAATATCAACTTTTCAGTAGGCGGAATCAGAATATAGATATCGCTATCTATTCACCTTTTTTGAGCGTGGGTTTCTGATGCATCAATTGGTAATTGCAATTATACACAGTTCTATTATGAAAACGCGTACTTACATACGTTTATTAATCATCTATTCTTTTGTTGGAATATATGTCACTTGCCAGTCTTTATAACTGCCAACCTGTCTAATTGCTCCTTCTTTACAGTCATGTCTGGCAATGGACAGTATCCTGTACACTGGAGATGGTTGGAAGAACGACAGTCTAGTCTCTAGAAGGGTCGGAGATCGATTTCCGATGGTTTAACCTACATTGGTTTAACCTACATTAACCTACAGGTTTAACCTACATTAACCTACATTACCTGATCAACCAGGCTGTCACTCATACGTCAGGCTGCGAGCAGCCGCGTCTAACAGCCTGGTTGATCAGTCCAGCAACCAGGAGGCCTGGTCGACGACCGGGCCGCGGGGACACTAAGCCCCGGAAGCACCTCAAGGTAGCCTCAAGGTACATACAGTCGTACTGTCTCAGCGCTTGTATTAATTTTTATAGGGTCGGGGGTCAAACCCCGATGGGCAAAGTGGTTGTTCACCATTCATTTCACTCCATTATCATTTCCAAGTTCATTATCCTCATTTTTCAGCTCCTTGTCCTCATTTTACCAGCTCATTGTCCTCATCCAACTCCTTGTCCTTATGTTTCCAACTTCTTGTCCTCATTTCCCTTCCAAGCGCTTAATCACAAGCACTTGGAAAGGAAAAGACCTAAGCCAGAAGCCTTCCCATCTGGCTTAGCTCTGCCAGGATCCCATAACACACTGGACCTAATATAACCGGAAAAATCTCCAAATTCATTGCAAATTTTCGTCACCTTAATCCAAGAAAAATTTAGTGGTTTTGAGTTCGGAGAAATAAAGGCGGGGGAGTTGAATGTGAAACGAACGGTCACGAAAACTCCCATTACCTGGAATTTAGGGCCCACTTATTTATAAGAATGAAGAGAGAGAGAGAGAGAATGAGAAAGATGAGCCATTTAGGACTTTGTAGGTAGACTGTGAGGGGGGGGGGTAACACAGTGATGTTACTGTGGGGTGTTACTGTGTGGTGTTACTGTGTGGTGTTACCGTGTGGTGATACCGTGTGGCGTTACTGTGTGGTGTTACTGTGGGGTGTTACTGTGGGGTGTTACTGTGGGGTGTTACTGTGGGGTGTTACTCTGTGGTGTTACTGTGGGGTGTTACTGTGGGGTGTTACTGTGGGGTGTTACTGTAGGGTGTTACTGGCTTTGTGAGCAGTGTGGGGAAGGAAATGCGTTTGGTGTGGCGAAGGTGATGTAACGGAAGGAAAGCAAAAACAGTCCAGTGGATCCAAAATAGGTTGTTTGCTTTTCGAGAGCTTGCGGCTCAACAAACAATACAAGCCTGAACAAACAAGGGAACGGTTATTATGTTAAAAACAATAGAAGTGAATAAACTCTTAACTCAATTTGGCCATATGTATAATCGACATTTCACTCAATTTGTTCTTCTAAGTAGTTAAGAACATAAGAACAAGAAGCTAAGAACACACAAGAAGCTAAAGATAAAGGAAATTGCAGATATATAGCCATCCATGCGAGGTCTGAATGGTCCTCAGGCGTATATGCAACTGAAAACTCCACACCCCAGAAGTGACTCGAACCCATACTGCCAGCGAGGGGCTCCCGTCACGGGGCGAGGTGAGGAGCGCCCAACCTGTCACGGTGTCCGCTTGCGGTCGACAGGAGTCGGTGACGTTGCAGTGACGTCATGATCTACGTCACCAGGATGAGCCTATCAGCAGTCATAAGAATGAAAGCCGGTAAGAATGCATTCCCATGATTGGCTAAGCTATTGTGTCCAGGCGGCCGATAGTAGCACGACTGAGCATCGTTCCGTTACTGAGCACTGCAACAGTCAGTTGGATCATTGTTCTCTATTGGGCCAAAGACATAATTCATCATTCCACTAAGCTGAACCGTCAAGTTGTACAAGAAGATAACTATTATACAGAGCAATCACACTAGAGTGACTGCATCAATATTTATGTAATTATATGATAACTACGGTGATAAGATAATTATTGCTATATATATATATACCTCGTATGTGCCCGGAATCACCGCCGTGGAATTATGGACATAACTAAGTGGTAGAGTAATTTAAGGATCACTTCGAGATGGTGAGAGATGGTCTCAAAGTGTTGCCGCACAATCAAGGTTCATCTACATCACCATTGACATTAGAAGCCTAGAACAACTCCAGCTACAATTGCATCATTGTGTGGCATTGTTGCATTGTTGTCCGCGCGTTCACCCCAAATATTACTTCCCAGAAAAACGAGATGTTGTTCTCATTGCTTTTAGAACTAATTTAGCGTATTGTTCAGCCTTGTGTTGCTGCAGGATTACCAACCGTGGGTTTCCCGCCAAACAAATCATTGTTACCAACTGCCATGTGTCATCAAGGGAGTGCTGTATCAAGTTACGTGTCATTAAGAGAAGACTGACACATAGAGCAGCACCAAGGAGACCTCCACGATGGAGTACCTGAGGAGTTCACTGAGTGTCATCGAGGGATCAGCCACCATAAGTTGAGTATTCAGTTTTATTGAGAGATTATCTCTCTCTGTGAGCAGTTCAGTGTGAACCGCAGTTGTTTCTCGCCCCTCTAACACGTAAACAGGTCAGTGAGAGATTATAAACAGTTAACATTTACCCTCAGTGGACGTTCGTAGCTGCACTGGTTATAGTCTGGTCTGAGTGACTACAGGCATCCACATATAGTTAACCACTGAATGTTGTGTGTAATGGAAAAAGGTCTGTTCATTATATTTTGGAATTGTTTATTATTGTTTATTTTACCATTATTAATGCAGGGATACTGTTAGCAAACTATTATATTAAATCTGGGGAATATTATGATACCTCTACGTTGATTTCGTCCGGCCTGTAAAGCACTTAACCTAACCAGCAATTATATGAATAAATTATGTAAGGGCTGTCAGAGCAAATGTTGTTCTTTGAGCATATTGTTGTCGTGGGGTGACAGCCGTGGGCGGACACTCTTGACCAGAACTCTTTGGCCCTAAATTTTCCTTCAGAGACATTCATATTATCCCAATCTACTTGACTTAGCGTGGCTGTCTAATTACCTTCATGTGGGCTAAGGGAAGTGCGGCCACCTACCTGTGGGCGGCCAGGAGGTCCTCGAGGGTGTGGTGACGAGGGGTGAGGATGGGCGAGGAGTCTGGTAGAGACAGCTGGTGTCGAATGGTCGGGTGAGGGTAGGTGGAGGCCGACGCCTCAACCTGCGTCAGGTCCACCCAGCTGCCACACCTACAACAACAACAACAACACCTCTCAATCACATACAGCAGATATGTGTGTTTACATTTTCACTTCCAGCGCTTTCATTGGCTATGTAAAACGCCTCTCAGAGCAGCCAACAACATGGCGATGCATCTCGGCCAGCTGTCGGCGCCAAACGGCTTCTACCAGTCATTACTAGCTATCATGTTAGGTTATTAGTGCTGGTGTTAGTAAACTCAGTAAACTTATTAGTAAACTCAGGTCTGGGGGGGTTGGACGTAGCGCATATCAATCTCTGGAGGGTTATTAAGCGCTCGCCAAACGCGTATTGATCACTCAGCATGCATGCAACATAGGTCAGGACTAAAGAATACTTGCAGTGTATACACACCGTGAAATAAAATACGTCTTTCATTGCATATATGTTGAAGATACTTTGGTGTTAGGCCAAAAGCTTATCAACTAGTGATAGTGCTATTAAGGCCTCCACAATAGGTTACTGACCCACATGCAACTTTGCTGTTTGGTTATTGGCTTATGAACCTCTGGAGGGTTATTATGTTTGACACAATTGTTTACTGATCATCCACTAAGTTGACTTTAGCAGTAGACATAATCCAGAAACAAAGCAGCTATATATATATATATATATATATATATATATATATATATATATATATATATATATAATCATATAGAGAAGTGTACCTCATTTCTCTGTGTATATGCGGTGAGAGTTTACCTTCAGGCCTGCACTATATTTAGAAGTAAAGTATACTAGCTGATGGTTAGTAAACTATTGTCAGTAAGCTTAATATCATCCAGCATTGATAGGCCGTAAGTCTAACACCAAATCAAGCTTTATAGAGCATTTGAGCTGTGTCGTGTGTTTAAACATCTGCGTTCTGACATATGTTTAATTTCCCCTCCTCGCTGTCATACGTGTTCCAGTTAGCCATCTCTCTTCCAAGTTACAGCCATCGGCACCTCCTTCCCTATGTTCTGGCTTCAAACCTCCCCTCCCACCCATGTTCCGGGTTCACCCTACCCCTCCCACCCATGTTCCGGGTTCACCCTACCCCTCCCACCCATGTTCCGGGTTCACCCTACCCCTCCCACCCATGTTCCGGGTTCACCCTACCCCTCTCACCCATGTTCCGGGTTCACCCTACCCCTCCCACCCATGTTCCGGGTTCACCCTACCCCTCCCACCCATGTTCCGGGTTCACCCTACCCCTCCCACCCATGTCCAGGCCCTTTCTCCTTCCTCCCATGTCCATTCAAAACCACCCCGAGGAGCCGGTCGGCCGAGCGGACAGCACGCTGGACTTGTGATCCTGTGGTCCCGGGTTCGATCCCGGGAGCCGGTGAGAAACAGTGGGCAGAGTTTCTTTCACCCTATGCCCCTGCTACCTAGCAGTAAAATAGGTACCTGGATGTTAGTCAGCTGTCACGGGCTGCTTCCTGGGGGTGGAGGCCTGGTCGCGGACTGGGCCGAGGGACACTTAAAAAGCCCCGAAATCATCTCAAGATAACCTCAAGATAAACCCCCTTCAACCTGTGTCCTGCCACCTTCTCTTCATCCTATATATGTCCCCTCTCCTCCCTCCCTCCACTAGGAAATACACATGTTCTCTATCTCCCACCCATGTCCACACCGCACCCATGTCAACAGCTTTCTGACTTGCCGGTATTTAAAATTTACTCAAGTGTGAAACAGTATGTATACTTAAGTCATGAACATTATGTATACTTCAGTCTGAAACAATATGTATACACGAGTATGAAACAATATGTATACCTCAGCCTGAAACAGTATATATACCTCAGTGTGAAACAGTACTTTTTCTGTTTCACACTGAGGTATATATACTGTTTCAGTCTGTATACTTCAGTCTGTATGTATACTTCATGACACTCATTTATGCCCTTTTTCCTTTTTTTGCCCAATCTCGCCTTATCACCAATATGCATCTCAGAATTATTGTTATTATTATTATTATTATTATTATTATTATTATTAATGAAAAGTAGTGTGCAATGATAGTGTGCTTAAAGCATATGAATTATCGCAACGTCTGAATCATTCCCATTCTGAAAGCGAAGAGTGATGAGCGCTGTACCATATGTACTGATGAATTAATTACAGAAGTCATCAGAAACAAACACTGATGAGTTCCACATATCTTTGTAAAACAGTTCGCTAACAGGTTTAGTTCGGTGTTGAGCCTATATCAGCCTCATAAAGGCTATTAAGGCCACCTCAATACTTTCCTCACCATCCAGCAAAAATATTTTTGTTCTAAAAACAATCCAGGATTAAAGGATACCTCGTAGTAGGGGGCCTCGTAGCCTGGTGGATAGCGCGCAGGACTCGTAATTCTGTGGCGCGGGTTCGATTCCAGCACGAGGCAGAAACAAATGGGCAAAGTGTCTTTCACCCTGAATGCCCCTGTTACCTAGCAGTAAATAGGTACCTGGGTGTTAGTCAGCTGTCACGGACTGCTTCCTGGGGGTGGAGGCCTGGTCGAGGACCGGGCCGCGGGGACACTAAAGCCCCGAAATCATCTCAAGATAACCTCAAGATAAGATACTCTCAGTCAGTGTGTATAGACTGAGAAACGAGATGTATAACCCAGAGGGAGTCGCTTTACGAAGGTATCTATTACGAAATCAGATATTACAAACTTATGTAATTCGTAAATAGTGTATTATGACTATCCAAGACTTGCTGATGAAGACTATATTGTATTACTGATAGCCAAGTTAAAATTTCTGAGCTAAATTAAGAGTTATACATTTTATTGAGGTAAACTCTGAAGGAGTTTATAATGGGTAATTATCGTGGCGCGACGATCAGTCACGCCAGGATGAGACTGCCACAGCTGGCAATTGGCGGCCGTACATTGCACATCTTTCCCCTCAAACGTAAACACTTGACGTTCGAGTGTTTACACGAGGAGAGATAAACCCTGATGCCTAAGGAAAGCACAAAATACATAAAAGATCTGGCGCCAGAGACTCAAAGGAAATTCGGTTAATAATTAACGGTCACTCTTTGCATTTTTTTTTTTTACTTTCGTCTTGGGGCTACTCCATCCCACAACTCATCAAAATGAGACATAAATACCAAGACGTTTACCCAACCTTCTCTGCGTATATTCACTGAGAATTTACTTTCCATCTGAATAACGTTTAGGACCAAAATATGTGTTAGACAGTGCCACGGCATTAGCAGGGTTCCTTAGGTTAAATACTCCTTATTCCCAACATCAGACCAAACCTCAACAGCTTATCTTAAGGCATACCCTACAAGTTTTCCCTAGAACACGATCCTCACGTGAATTTACAACTAGCATTCAAATTATTGCTAGGTGAACAGTGGCTAACAATTAAGGAGCAGTGCCCAATCATCCTTCAGTGCCAGTTGCTGGAATCCAGGTCAGTATCGCTTGTAAGGCCATAGAGCTGTTTCCAGGAATCGCAACTTACAGTACTGGAACTATACTCTTCCCCTGGAACTACCCTTCCTCCCCCCCCCCCTTTGAACCTCCTCTTGTACCTTGTATTTGATGCCTTTCTGTCTCAAAATCAAAATGCTTATTTGGCCAGGTTTCTTTACATTGAACTGTATAAGAAAAGGCGTGAAGGGTCAGGGGTGGGAGATCAACCGAGTTTTCTGAGCTAGAGTTCAACCAAGGATCACATTTTCTGGTTCTATTTTATATTCACTTTGTTCCTTGTGTCAGACCCTCATCTCAGAACCTCCTTAAACCCCTCAGAACATCCTAAAACCACCAGAACCTTCCTTTAAACCCTCAGAACCACTTAAACCCTCAAAACCTACTTAAACCCTCATAAGCGCCACAGACCGTCATGTATCCCTCTCCCATGTATTCCCGCTCCGTGTATTTCTGCCCCGTGTATAACTGCAACGTGTATAACTGCTCCGTGTATAACTGCAGCGTGTATAACTGGTGCAGGAGTCCCCCGCCCACGACCAGCACCCACCTGTAGCGACGGCCTGCAGGCAGCGAGAAGGTCGTCTCATTGTACGACTCTTCGCGCTCAGCTGCTGAAGAGGCTGTAGGCGCTGACCCTTCACTCTGCCGCGCGCTGTCCGCACTCCTGCCGGAGGAGGGGGGGGGAGCAAAGGATAGAGAGGAAGACAGAAGAAGAGTAGAGGCAGGATAGAGAGAACAGATGGCAATAGCAGGAAAGAGAACACGGGAGACGACAGAGAACATTCGAGATGAATATTAGTGAGCAGAAGGTCGTTGAGAGAATGAACATAAAGCAGAGACACTCAGGAGAGAATGGGGTAGAGAAAGAGGAGATACAGCAAAGAGGGAAGAGATAGAAAGAAAGAACGAGCGTTTGTGTAGCAACACATGAGAAGAGGTAGGTAAAGATAAGACAGTGATAACGAAGAAGAGGTGTAGTAAGGAATGAACAGAAGAGAGGTGTGAGATGGAGAAAGAAGGGAGGGAGGTGTGAGAGATGGTGAGAGAAGGCATGTGAGAGGTCGCGTGTGAAAGGATTAGGGCAGAGGAGGAGAAATGAGACGGAGTGTAGACGCAGGAGGGGAGAGGGGGGGGAGGGAGTGAGGGTGAGAGAAAATTAGGATGACAGAAGGCAGGTGAGAGGAAGAGAAGGGAAGACAATGTTAGCATACCCACATCATACCCACAACATACTCACAGCATAACAGTATCGTCCTCTAAGAAAGCCTCACTTCCCAGCCTCCAACGCTAATGTTCAAACGCTAAATATTTCATGAGCTCAATTTTAACATTACCAACATTATCCAACCGATTTATTTACAATTTTTTTACTTAACATTTAATAGGCTAATACACACAGAAATCACAATACTTATATTCTAAGCTGCATCACTTATGAACCCATCCCTGCCCTTGTGTGGCAGTGCACAATAGAAAGTTGTTTTCACATATCCACACATTAAAACATTGATTGTAACCGTGATATATATGTGCTTCAGCCTACAGTGTAGACCTATTGTCTTATGTATGACCCTCTGTCCTGCGTGACAGTGAATACTAGCATTAACCTCAATTTAATAAGACTATCAAAATCCTCAGATTAGGCAAAATTGTAATTAATTTTGTCAATAAAGATGTTAATAATAATAAATTTCTGGGTGCAGTCAACTAAGGCGCGTCTAGGATCATCCCGGACGTAGGTTCGAAGCCTCATCACGGCCCTTGTGGATTTGTTCATTTAATATGCTAATATTATTACATCAAGCTTAATTTAATCTGCATTTTGCTTTCATAAAGAATAAACAGGTACTTAAGCACTCGGTAAACTTAATTGAAGCATACTGAAGGACACTGCCTATTATCTTTGCTTGTATAGTATATTGTTATGTTCAGGTGTGTGTGTGTGTTTGTGTGTGTGTGTGTGCATGTGTGGGAGTGTGTGTGTTGGAGTGTGTGTGTGTGTGTGTGCGTTCTTGCGTGTATGTGCATGCGTATGTGTGTGTATAGTGTACACGAACGAGTTATACACCTTTGCACATGTAAGTGCACATTAGCTAATGCCTGAGCCCCACTAAGGCAGCATAAGCCCAGGTGATGAGCCAGCGCCACCATTACCATCACTCACCCCCGGGGTATAGTGCAGTAAGCGGGGTTGAGCAGCTGCACCGCCGGCCGGGGAGCCGACAGCTGCTGCTTATAAGGCAAATCAAGCAAGTCTGGGAAATGTGCCCCACTCTCCTTGGAGAGGTGCGAGCCTGCCTGCCCGCAGGCCTGGCGCAGCAGAGTCCCCTTGCTGTCGTACGGGTGATCCTGCCAGCGTAGTCTCTCCTCTATCGGCTGGTGCGACGTGGCGGTCATTTCTGACTTGGGAATCTCCACGTAGGATACCGTGCTGGGGGAGGACGATTTACCCTCGCCTCCTTGCCCGGGTTTTGCTAGTCGTTTCTCCTCCTTGTCTGTGTAAACATTCGGTTTTTCTAGTTCCTTTGTGGAGGGGAAGTCGTCGACGGAGGCGTCTCTAAGCATCCACGACTTGTCGGAGTGTGTCGGCAGCGGCGACGGTTCTTCTAAGTCGTTGGTGGGCACTATGTGGTATTCGGCGAGTTTGGGATGTGAGTCGCTGGAAATGCTTCCGCGTCCCTGGGACGACTGTGGCGTCTCGTTCTTGTGTTCGCATTCTTGATCTCGTCGTCGTCTTAGACGCTGACGTCGGCGGAAGACGACTGCCACGAGGAGAAGAAGAACGACGCAGATGATTGTAACAACACTCAACAGTCCACCAGTCACGAAGACACGGTCCATAGTGACTAGCCGCACTTCGGCCATCTCGTTAGACACTTGAAGGGTAAAATTGGTCTCCACCGTGCCGGCCTTGTTGTGCACAACGCAGCGGTAGGTGCCCTGGTCTTGCGGAGCTGCGCCGGAGATGGTCAAGTTAGAGAGCCGCGTCTCCAGGTTGGGAGCCACGAGCTCCAGCACGTGGTACCGTCGCGACTCACTCGCATTGTGGATAGGACGACCACCAGCCAGCCAGGTGACTGCCGCGTCGATGTCAGTTTCCACGCGACACGACAGGGAGACGTTCACCCCGTGGGCAGCCATGACCCTGGGTGCCACCGCCGTCACCTTCGGCACGCAAACGAACTCGTCCAGCGTCAATGTCTGCCAAGATCGACTCTTCAGTCGATCAGGTTGAACGCATATGGGGGGTTCAGAAAAAGCCACATTGCGCTCAATCATCCATTGACGCAGAGGGCGTAACTGACAGCCACAGTTCCATGGGTTGCCATCCAGGTGCAATTCGTGTATGGCCACAAGTGGAACGACCATATCCGCGTGCAGTGTCATTAGCTTATTCACGGATAGCTTGAGCACCTCCAGGCGAGTCAACCCTCGAAAGGCTCGCTTGTGAACGACTTCAACCACATTGTGGGAGATGTCCAGACGCACCAAGTCTGGCGTGGGCGTGAACGCGGCCTCAGGGAGGGAGCTGATGGTGTTGAAAGCGAGACGTAGCTCCCTCAAGCCAGACACGTCGCTCAGAGCCGCCGAGGGCACCGACCGCAGGAGATTATGGCTTAGGTCCAGCTCGACCAAGTTGGCTAGCATGTTGAAGGCGCCACCATCAAGGTGTTTGAGATTGCAGAAGTTGAGCCAAACCTTCTGCAGGTTGACCAGGCCGGTGTCGACGAAGGCGTCGCGAGGCAGGATCTGCAGATTGTTGTGCTTTAGGTCTAACACCTGTGTAGAGGGATCCAATCCTCTCGGGATGTCGATGAATTCGGAGTCTGGACACGACACTGTCTCCTTGCCATCTCGCCACTTGCACTCGCACACTTTAGGGCACGTGCCAGTGGCCCCACACACAGTCCATGCCCACATGAATGCCCATACCCATGCCCACACGATAGTCCGACGCAGCCTGGCTGCTCTCTGCAGGCTAGTGTCAGGCTTCCAAGAGTTCATTTTCAGGCCGGGAGAGTAGAGGTGACCGGACCCTACGCTGACACCAGCTCACTGACTTCTCATTGCGTCATGATGACGTCTCGCAGCTCTCCTAAAAAATATGACATATTGTATATAAATTCCCATCTAAAAAAAAGCTTCATGCAGTGTATATAAACGCCGGTATGCCGTAATGACTAAAATATTACATTTACTCCGACTTTCTTATCGGCCAAGACAGCTTTTTTGTGACTTCCGCTCGCCATCAGTTATCATATATAAGCCAGGCAATTTTTAGTTGATCTCCGAAGAGGTGACAAGTTCGCACTTATTATTCGATCCTCCTCACACGATTCAGGGATGTTTGATGTATCTCTCTCTGAACGCCATAACGAGCCACAGATCTCAATCACTCCTCTTGACACTTTCTCGTAAATATTCGAGTTTCTGTCAACATCTCACCTGTCACACCCTCACAAACGTTAGCAGTGGCGTGACGTTCTCACAAACGCCAGGATTGTTGGTATTTCCTCACACACGTTAGAACTGCTGGTACGTTCTCAAAAGCATTCCAGCTGCTGGTACTTCTCACAGTCACAAATGTTATGCATTTCAAAAAACGTTTCATACCCATCAGAACGTGTCCTCTACAGGAGCCTCGCCATGACCTCCTCAGGCGTTGGGTAGCTCCCTATTGATACGTTCACAAAAACTTCTCTAACATGATCCAAAGATAGGTTCTTGCTCCAGTTAGCTGATCCGAAAATAGATTTTTGTCTCAGCAGATTAGCAGAGAGGGTCTTGCCCCAATTAGGACCAGTAGACAGGTTCTTGCCCCAGATAGCTGATTCGAAGACAGGTTCTTACGCCAATTAGCTGATCCGCAGACAGGTTCTTGCCCCAGTTAGCTGATTCGCAGACAGGTTCTTACGCCAATTAGCTGATCCGCAGACAGGTTCTTGCCCCAGTTAGCTGATTCGCAGACAGGTTCTTACGCCAATTAGCTGATCCGCAGACAGGTTCTTGCCCCAGTTAGCTGATTCGCAGACAGGTTCTTACGCCAATTAGCTGATCCGCAGACAGGTTCTTGCCCCAGTTAGCTGAGTGTTTGGCCGCTTGTTGGGGTTCCATGTTCCCATACTCTCCGCCTGTCCCTGAAAAATATAAATAAAAAAGGCATTTTAGAACTGGATATTTGTTTTTGGTGCAGAATATATTTACAAAAAATAATTTTGAGGGAGAAGGTAAAATGATCGGAGTATTTTGTGTCGACGACTAATGTTCTGAGGTTTTCTCAGGTGTTTATATGGTTTTGTAATTCAGCGTCAGTGTGCGAGTACAGTTATTGTTTTGAAAATTCACCCGGCTTGTCGGTGTTCCCGGGACGAGACCCAGGCCTGTCAGTGTTCCCGGTGCGAGACCCCAGCCTGTCGGTGTTCCCGGTGCGAGACCCCGGCCTGTCGGTGTTCCCGGTGCGAGACCCCGGCCTGTCGGTGTTCCCGGGACGAGACCCCGGCCTGTCGGTGTTCCCGGTGCGAGACCCCGGCCTGTCGGTGTTCCCGGTGTGAGACCCCGGCCTGTCGGTGTTCCCGGTGCGAGACCCCGGCCTGTCGGTGTTCCCGGGACGAGACCCCGGCCTGTCGGTGTTCCCGGTGCGAGACCCCGGCCTGTTGGTGTTCCCGGGACGAGACCCCGGCCTGTCGGTGTTGACTATATGATTATCTCACGAAAACGTCTTAATTATTTTTACATCGTTCAAGCCTGAAGTGATTCGAGTCTCAGTTAGAGGCTCCCAACGCTGATATTGCCTGAGTTAGTGATTGTTCTGCAACATCGACGACGTCACCTGTGTTAGTGTTTGTGCTGCAACATCTACGACGTCATCGTGTTACTATTTTTCTGCAACATCTACGACGTCATCGCGTTATTGATTGTTTTACTTCATTGACGATGTCACCTTTGTTAATGATTGTTCTGCAACATCGACGACGTCATCTGTTAATTATTGTTCTGCAACATCAACGACGTCACCTGTGTTAGTGTTTGTGCGGGCTCATCGCTGATGTCATTCGTGTCAGCGAAGGCACGCGACCATCACTACTGTCATCGTTGTCAGTAAAGGCTCGAACCTGGTGCTGACGCGTTCATTCCCGCCTTCAACAAATGTTGCCATGTGTTACTGGACGCTGAAAGCACGCTGTACATTTTCCCCAATAATGAACGTCGAATATACATTGTTCATGTTTGATATTTGTGAACACGATATGTTGATTGTTCCTGTCTCCCACTGTTGTGCACTGATTGTACATTGCTCATGCCTGTATTTGGTAAACATTGAATACATATTGCTTTTGCAATCGCCACGGGAATGGTTGTTGCATGGGGTTTCCTGCATGTCGTTGTTCCGTATTACGAGATCACACTGCAAGCTCTATTTCCCTTGTGGAATAGCATCTATGGGTTGACTCTTAATCAATTGGTGTGTGTACAGGTTCCTGAGCCTATTGGGCCCAATCGTATCTGCATTTGAAACTGCATATGGAGTCTAGCTGCCACCATGTCACTTCCTAATGAGCTTCATTTGTTAACTATTCTGATGGGGATAAAATTCTCGTTAATGTCTCTGTGGCTTATTTGGAAACTCAGTTTCCCATCTGTGTCACTTCGGGTTTACCTTTATTAAGTGTAGTAGCCATATGTTAGCCCGTACTCTCAGTTTAACTAAGTCATCTTGCGCGTGTGTGTTTGTAATCACTTTTTGTGCCTGTAGGAATAAACTTTAGCTCATGCACTCAACCTTTCCAACAGCCGGTTGTTGAATGCAAAGGCCCCTGATCCTGTGTTTCCATGTTTTCCATATTATATCTATTTTAATGTCTGAATGGAGTTTACTTCTACACCTTGATTTTTTTTAGTTCATTTCAATTTCCCTCTACTCTTACGCTACAAAAAACCTTGAAGCACCTCTATGAAACAGCTCATCTGTTTCTTAGGCTTCTACCTTAAAATTCTACTTGTTGTGACCTTTGCAAATGCAGAAGTTGCTGCTGAAGCTCATTTACTTAGGTTTAAGTTTATTTACTATTTACTCAAGCCTCAGGAATGAGGCTTGTTGATAGGTCCATTCCCAGGTCTGACTAGGTCTCAGGTCAGGTCTAAATAATGTCTGCATTTAGTCAGACCCTTCAACCTTCGTAAAATCTTGAGTTCATTGTCTATTCGGCATAATAAAATGATATCTTAAATTATGAAAATCCGTAAATTAATCTAAGTGATTATCCAAACAAGGCGCCAAGACGCAAAGACTAAAAGTTTTATCTATTAAATTTGATATATTAATGCATTTGTGTACAAAAGAGGTTTTGGAACTCGGGGTCTTCGCTCGATGCTATATTTACAATATTATCAAGATCTTGGGCAGATACGAAAAAATGGTCAAGCAGAAAGTTCCAATTCAGTTTGAATTCTTTTCTTATGCGAAAGAGGAAAAAAAGTTGTTGATTAGGCAAACTATAAATTAAATCATGTATAGAGATGGTCATATAATGTACGTTAGATATATATTATCAGTTAATTAAACATCTTAAATATTCATAAATGTTCGTTTTGTACATTTAAAAAAAAGTTAATTCCGCGAATATTTAGGGAATAATAGTCGACGTTAAATACAATGAAAGCTATAATGTCTAGGTCACGTGGTGAGTAATTTCTAACTGATATAAACAAAATATCATCACACACTGATGAAATATCAATGAATGTGACGTCAATAATGTTGTAGAGTTTAATATACCAACATTAAAAGCGGATAAGTCAATTAACTGGAAATATCCTTCATTTAATTTGAACTTCAAATGAGGAGGATTTTACAAGTAATTTGCCGACTGGTGAAACGTTTAATTCATTTAATCTCTGATAAATCGCACTCAATGTAATATTTTACATTTACACACCCATTAGTCGCCAAAAGTACAAACATTTTCTGATGACATTAAGACCAAAGTTCAGTCTCCAATAGAGTAACAGAGATTGCAAGCTATGTTACTTGCAATATTTTTAGATTAATATAAAAAGTTATTCTAAAAACTTTAGTGGGCAGAGAAGCTGCCTGCCAGAGAATTGCAGAGAAGTTTTAATTACATAAAAATAAAATACAATATTGAAAACAGAGATGAAAAGGAAAGTTTTTAATTAAGCACATACAGCTAATTGTAATAAATGAGGATACATGGACAAAATAGTTCAATATTGATGGAATCAGTGAACCGAGATTGAACAAGAAACCCAATATATTTTCACTATTCAGTGGAAAATATTTGGAACTTGAATCTGAGAATATTTTCCCCCATTATTTGCAGTTCTCTACGACTGTTGGGTAATATTGTATGCAGTTTGAGTCACAATATTTCTGAAAGAATATTTATCAATTGCAACGTATAAAGTACTATGCGACACAGTTGATGCCAAAGTAAAACATTCGAGACCCGTTTAACACAGCTAAGTGTAATCTAGCTGTGTAAAAAACACTCTTAAACAAACAACAATTGGTTAGTTTCAAATAATTATTTAAGGTTATCCATGAAAGAAATCTTGTCCTAAAAATTCCAATAATATTGCAGAATCAACCATTAGGTGGAACCATGGCTTTAGGATGACCGGCGATCAATTGCAATCTATCAATTTTAAAATATGAAATAGCTTACAAAGGGATTTAATTAACAGTGATATTGTGTGAACTTTTGACAAAATTCTAGAGAAGTTTTTTCTTTAAATCCGGTCCTTACAGTACACGCTCCGCCATAAGCTTTCTACGTAACAGGAGCTTAGTCTATATGTAATAGTCTGTACTTAGAACTTCTTGACAATCTTTTTCAGTCTATATGTGTTAAAATATCTGCGCAACGTATAACTTTTTGGTCTATATTTCCTCTTTTCCAGCTTTTTTTTAAATACAAAAATAAAATTATGGGGGAAAAATATGATACAAATATTCTTCAATACATTTCAGTGGCAATGAAAATATAATTACAATCTTGGAACTAGGCTGGCTGGTCTATAAGGAGCAGCGATTAGAATTATACAGTAGAACTTCCGACTAGAGAAGTGTAGCATTACGGGCTACTCCTCAAGTACCACCTCTTTGGTGACTTGATTTTCATCAATCAATCAATCAATCAAACAATCAATCAGAGCGTAGTTTGAGTTATGATGCCACTCTTACAACTGTTAGTATGAATTGAACACTCGAGGGATGGACAGTGGAACAAGTTGGGCACTTGGGATCCTTTAACTTTTCCTGTTTGTTTCAGTGGTATCGTTTGTTAGTTAATATCTGAATTTTCTCTTGTATAGCATTGAGTGATCAGAAAATATTTTCGGGAACAAGATAATCACTCACTAACTGGAGGCGACAATAGAAATAGAAGTAACTTCAGAGTTTACATACAAGGAAAAAACCAAATTATGTCAGTGGTTTACATTAGAAATAAGGAGAATTGCTGCCAACACATGGCAGCTCCTATTTATATCCACCCTTAAGCATTCATATAAATGTCTATCCTACGCTTGAAACAATACATCGATCCAACATCTATTATGTTTCACGGTAATATTGTTAAAAAATAAACACCTGTTTCTATACCATAATATATTTACTCTGGTCTAACCCAAATCAAAACTTATCCAATTTATATCCATTGTTTTGAGTTCTAATGTGTGACTATTTATTTAAAAGGTTATTTATTATTACATTTATTAATTAAGCCCTGTCAACTATTTATAATTACTATATTATGCCATATCGTCTACGTATATAATTAAATCATGTTAACCTTTGTGGTCGTCAAGTTTTCGTCTATGTTGACTCTTGATTATCTCTCATCACGACGCATAATATAGTCACCACTAAGACGTAACACCATTTATACTAACTATCCGCTTTCCTTGAAATACTCTAATCCAACATAGGCTCACCTTCACCACAATACCAAAAACCCTCCGTCTTTTTAACGAGTCTCAAGCGAGCCACAATATTAAATGCTTTGTTAACGTCGTGATATAGAATGTCGCAATTCTTTTCGCGATCAAAGGCTTAATACACACAGGAAAAGAATGAAGTAAGTTGGCGGGAGACGAACGATTTTCAGCAAAGCCA